GGAGTACGCCCGTCCGGTATACATGTGTTTTGTTGCCTAGAAAAAGCCTCTGACCAGATCCCATGCAACAGTCTGTGGTCATACGAGATAGATGGCCAGCTGCTAAGGGCCATCCAATCACTATATTCTGACAGCAGGTGGTGCTTCAGAATCAATGGCGTTAAGTCGAAAATATTCAACGTTCGCACTGGTCTCTGCCAAGGGTGCATCCTGTCTCCTATTTTGCTTCTGTTGTACATGAATAGAATAGTCAGGTGCTGCCAAGGCGATGAGTGTATTGGTGTAGGAGATGTCCAGACCTTCTGTTTGCAGACGACCTACTGAAGCTAAGTTACCGTGCCCCTAGAAAGGTTCACAGTCCTGCGACGTGACCGGCATGCATGTGAACCATCTAAAACGAAAAGCCTAATGCTTTCTCTTTCTCCTGCCCGCTGCTCTCTTCAGATAAATGGAGAAGCAGTGGAGCAGGTGGAGAAATTCAAGTATCCCGGAACCGTATTTACCAGTGATGGAAAATACGAGGAAGAGATGGATCGACGGAATGGAGTAGCCAGTGGCGTTCTGTGTGAATCAGCCCGATCCACCGTGACTAAAGCAGAGCTCAGTCTATAGATTAACCTCTCGTTGTTCAAGTTCATCTTCATCCCCATGCTCACCTACGGTCATGAGTCGTGGACCATAACTGAAAAAATTCGAAACCGGGTACAAACTGCTGAAATGGGCTTTCTTAGACAAGACGTTGGCCTTAAGCGTCTCGACATGGTCCCTAATAGTGACGTTTGTGAAAACCTTGTGTCTTTGCTTCTCCAGACTGAGAAGTCACCGTTGCGATGGTTTGGCCATGTGTTGCGAATGTCTCCAGAAAGGAAGGGTAACCAACTGTTTCCCGCGAAACCGACCGGCAGAAGGTATAGGGGACGGCCAAGATTAACCTGGTGCAAATATATGGATGGAGTCTGTTGGAGACTCCAGTTGTCTTCTGCCGAAGCTCAGACTCTGGCACAGGATCGGGAACGTTTGAAGCTCTGTCTGACGTGTCTGCCTCCACGACCCTAAAGGAGAAGCGGCCATGGAAAATGAAGATATAATAAAAGCTTGATTGAAAGTCTTGCAGGAGTACGGTATAAATCCTCTCTACATGAACCGGATCGATGAAGTGAATACTGACATTCAGCTGTTGAAGAAAGCCTGTCGAATCAACAACAAAAGAAAAGAGTACTCCAAGGAGATACTATCGTCACCCAAACTTTTTGCGATGGCTTTAAAATTCTAGTTTAATCGCTGAAACCGGTGGCAGCATCAACACCGACCGAAAACTGTTCACTCATTTACATTTTGCGGACAACATGATCTTCGCGAACAAGCCGGTGGAACTTCCAATAAAGAATGTGCAATTGCAGGAGTCACTCGCCATCAGTCCGGAGAAGAACATATCCGTGATGAAATGGAAGTGCAACGAGTACTGGCCAGCGAGTACCATCTTCATGGATGGTAACGAACGGGAAAAAGTCACTACTTATTTATATCTCGGTCATCTAATTAGCTCTAACAGCCAAATCAACGGCGAGATCATCCGAAGGAGAACAAGCGGCATGGGCAAGTTTCAATCACATCAAAACATCGTTGCTAGAGAGCGAACTGCCCATGTCCACGAAAGAAACTGTTTCGTTTCCGCCGTCCTGTCAGCCATGATTTTTGGTGCGGTGCGTTGGTCTATCACACACGCTAAGGGAAAGAAGCATCAATGGTGATGGAAAGAAAAATACGCAAGGTCTTCCTCTGAAACCACGTTCCAAGTGCGATATTTCGATATCGAGCACGATTTCGGACCATACCTAATGCCTTCTACAACTCGAAACGACAGGCTGGCAATTTGGCTCGTCTAAGTATAACAAGGTGGATATATCTCTCGGCAACAGAGGTGCACTAGATCATCCATCAACACGTTGGAAAGACCCGATGACGAGGATGTTTGGTCAACGATGGAAGCAAAGGATACAACATCGAGAAGATTGGCCAAACGTCGACTCGTGTCTGTGGTGTGGCTGTTGATAAGTCAGATAGAAGGACAGACGGAGTAAAGACGTACCAGCTCCTGAAGCATTGTCCGTGGTGGGCACGAGGTGCTCTATAAGACAAAATGATGCGAGATGTATCCGGCACTACAGGTGCTCAAATACCATGGATCCGTGGCCAGTGTAAATGTCCTCTACGCAATTAGGAACAATGGGGCGGTACAAAACGTCATGAACGCCTTTCCCATTCAGTCACCTATCTATTACTCCCAACATATCCATCATCCATGCTGCCTTGCGTAACTGCATAGGTTAGCGTTGGATCCACACACTGATCGAAAACTTTCCATTTCAAGAATAAGGATAGCTTTTTGAATAGGAACATTTATAATTTTCATATTTCTTTCAACTTTTGGGAGATAAAATATATATTTCCTTTGGCACGCGACTTTGTATTTGGTTTGTTATCCGCTGTTTGTGCTTTGGATACCGAGATTAAATTTTTTAAGGCAAAAAAATTACATTCAGTTTTCACTGAAAGCTCAAACATGAATCCCATGCAAGTAAAAACAGCAAATATTAGTCTATGTTAAAGAGTTTGACGGCGTTTTACAGGCCCTGTGAATAAAGTTATTTATGGATAAGTCGCTCAGTTTTGTCTGACTCTTCCTTTCGACCTGGTGGCAGGAGTCATCGTCCTCCTCCGAGGCGTATATATTACACAGATTCTAAATTGTTATGTTATATATGCACCATAACAGGATTAAAATATAATCCGCAAAAGCTAAACGTTAAAGACTCAACTCACGGCGATAGACACATTTCAAACGATAAACTGGTTGCTTCAAAAGCATGTCACAAAACAGAAATTATTCGAGAGATGACAGCTACACAAATCGCCTCAAACATGATATTTCTGATAGAAAATCTAAGGTAAGTATGAAGTGCTTTCACTATATATCTGCTCTTCATTACAAGAAATCAACAATTCGTTTGCAGAGGACGCATTTTCGATCAGTTTTGTGACTTTTCCTATTCTTATCTTGATCGAAACGAAGCAAACATAACTCCACTCGCTGCTTCAGATTCGGCTGTTAGTTCTTTCAGTGAATCATCGACACACTTTACAAAGACCTCGTAGAAAAGATGGCCTGGTGTTCTCTAGAGATGCACGCAACAAGGAAGACAATCATAGAGTTTATGCGCCGCCTGGCTAGCTCGTATGATCCCATTTCAGCGATGTGTAAGCAACGTTCGATTCGTCATCAACCGAGCACAGCAAAACAATCTTTTTCACTTGCGTACCGAGTCTACACCATGACAGCAAGTCACGCGCCCTGAACTGCTTAGATCTTTTCGCACAGTGGACCAGATGCGATGCGTGAAAAGCCAGGGGATCCCCTACAAAAAACCAGATTAGTGCAGATCAAGCAAAAGGGGATAATCTCGGTAGATCGTTTCCTTTCGAGTAGCATATTTCCATGCAAAACAGTTTTGACGCATTTTTATAGTAGCCCATGTACCTCTTGGTTATACTTCTTTTGTCAGGCATCTACTGTTCGAACTTCCAACAGATCCATTATGTGATGATAACTCTAATTTCTTCAATCAATCTACAAGTCTTAACTACAAAGACAACGGCAAATAAAAGCTGGCAAAGGTAGATGTACGGGGCTTCATTCAAACTATAATTGCTATTGAGCGTAGCATGGTGTTGAAGCTGGAGAATATGAACCTATGAGCCAAAACTGATTGTCCATTTGCATCCTTTCAACGTCAAGTTTTGTTTGCACATTGCTTGTCTGAAGAATTCGTCATGACGTTTGACTGTTGAGCATTAATGAAAAAAACCAGCCGTTCATATTTGTGCTGCACACTGACGCTATCAAGCGGCGAAACCCGCTTAGCACACTATCAGCAAAGATTATATCACCCGTGTATTCCAGGTCAGGAAGACATAGCATACCTAGCCGTTAACAGAGCCTTCCTTCTAGAATGAGACCTCTGTCTTTGCCAAGGTCAGCACTGTTTTGAAGAAGAAAGTCAAAAACAATGTTGAATAGCAAACCTTACAGTACATCTGCTTGGTGAACTCCACAGTTAATAGGAAACCTCTCAGACAGCTCTTTCTTGACCTTGACAGCGGACAATAGCGAGTCAAATGTTGCTCAAAAACCGAGGAAAGCAGCAAAGAAAACAAGCAAAGAAACAATTCTCTCATTGTCTGAAGTCGTTGTTAACACTCTACCAACGACATTAATCACGGTAAACAGCTAATAACCACGTCGAATACCGACATGGCCCTGAGAATGACCCAAAAAATGAATACTGACATTCGATAATGGTTTCCGGCAAAAACATCATCCAGCATTCGACTAGATGGATTGTGTCACACACGAATAACGCGCTTAAGCATAGGTTAAATTAATCAGAAATTAAACCTACCAGGATACAGCAAATAGTCGCAGCCGAACTTCAGACCGGATGTAATGTAATAGCCTCTGTTGTGCAAATCTGTGAATACCGGAAATCTAACTCTGTCTATGCTCGGGAGGAAGTCGTTGAATGACATTTCATCGTAAAACTCGTCGGTGGCAAATGGGTTCCCTAAAACCGTAGTTAAGCAAGGCTGAGTCACCGTGGCAGCAAAGACCACAACTTACGATTAGCGATAGGAACGATTAGGTTCTTCAACGGTAAAGAATCGGGTTCGACAATTCGTGTGGCATCGATGTCGCCATCGCTTTCCGCTCCAGTAACCGAAGACTGCTCAACAACGGCATCAGGCTTATCTTTGCCCTCGTCTTCTGAAATCTGTCTATGCTTGATTAAGTCTGAAACTCTATAACTTTCTAGAAAAACCTATTGCGTAGCAAAATAATAATAACATTATCATTGCAATATATCATGATCATCATATTAACATAATAATGTTTGTCTCCATGCGATAAATAATTATGATACTAATACTGCGGTAGATCATATCTTCATGATCACTAGCGATTCATCACTTTGACTACTGCTACCACTACCCCACGCGGTGTCTTCTTCGATACAATGAGATGAGGAAAATTTCTTATCATAATCATTACGTCTATCATCATACTCAATCGTAAAAGTCCTTAAGTGAATGTTACGGGGCATAAATTCTTTCAGTTTCGCGCCACCACGAAAAGAACTTCTTCCTAACTTCCTCCATTCCGATGCTGACGTCTTGGACTTTATGCACCGCAACGACTATTCGTAATCTTTCACTTGTCTATTTATTTCTAACTTACGAATGCCAGCTTGTGTTCACTTCACCGCCTGTGACGTGGAAGATGAACTACAACCAACAGTGTACACATGTATATAAATAAGCCTGGCAAGCTCTGAAATGAATATACCCCAACTTCATGACGTCACCATCAGTGCTTGCCATCCGTTTCTGGGACTTGAGTAGAGCAGACGGCAGTGCTGAGAGATCAAGGGTTCGAGCCGTGGTAGATAAATGAACACGACTTTGCCGAAAGCAAACAAGACACATAACGCAACCGCGGTTATCTAACTGTAAATATAACCTCAAAAGGAAACAACGAACGTTGGTAATACAGCAACAAAGAATAGCACTCCACCACGCGATGCTTGAAAGAAAAGTGTCAAAATGGTGCCTATCATAGAAGTGTATAAGAATGTCTGACACCTAAACGGATATAATCTGTCCTTTGCCATTCTGTTTTTCAACTTAAATCCCTGTGCACGAGAATTAGCAGATAATTAAGAAAGTCTATGCCACGCTACAGTTCAAATCTACATTTCCAAACTTCATAACCGAAAAATTCCCTTTGCTTCAATGTTCTCCAAATGTCAACATGCCCCACTACATAAAAACATGATGCCTGTGCACACATGACACGAATTTTCGATTTTGCTCTTCACCTTTACTACAATAGCAATATCAGATTAAGGGACAAATATCAGATAACGGAGCTTCGTAGTATCTGGAATTTTTCGCTTGTTTCTACGGCTCTGAACAGCTGTTGCTACATATGCTCTGTGAAAGGCAAGTCGACGACTTCGCATATATTCAAATGAACCTTCCTTGCAAGCTGCGGAACGCTTCTTCATAAGAATGCCTCAAATGCCTTCCACGTAAAGATATTCAGTCATTCACTCATTTTTAGAACTCGCCATTTTTAGGTAGCAGCGGTAGCAGATTTTTTGAGGAAATTTTCTCATGGTCTCCTTCTTTGCACCAATACTGCCGTAATGTCTGACGGATGGAAGTCATTACATCTGGCTGTGCTGCAACGCTACGCGACCTCCTTGTTTCTAGTCGCATAAAAGGACCATTTAAGTATACCATGGCTCCATAAGACTTAAGTGCCTGTACTGCATGCAACACATTGCCGCGTCCCTGAATTCGAACATGTCCACTCGCATGTGTGGCTCGAGCGAAATGAATGCTCTAACCACGTAACACTTATTAAGCCTAAAGCATTTCTTATATGTTTTTACTTTTCTTACCAATAATACGACCTTGTAAGACGAATCGAATTCATTACTTGAATAACAACGCTGCTCCACCTCCTGCCTTTAGTGGTTTATAGGACCATTTAAGGATGATCCCAAGGTTTCAATCTTCAGCTCACCAGGAAAACTCCATACCTGAATTCTATCTAACGTACAACAATGTCAGACGCTCAACATACTTCAGGCATCTCGATCGTCGCGTATCATACGAATACCTGCGATGATGCCCTGCGCAAAGAATCCGATTTGCCATAGAAATCCAACCTATGACATCTAAACTGTGTGTATGAACCGTCATCATCTTGGTATCTTCATGTGAAAGGGGAGTGACTAAGAGGTTGGAGTTTTAGATTTCAGCATTCCAATGCTGATCTGATAACATCTCGTTTCTTACTACCATCAGCCCTTCGAGCAACCTCATTTTTTTCACTTGTCTCTGACACTCAATCCAGCACTCATGACCATAAGTGAAGTACATGCTCACGAGCAGATCTGAAGACAGTTTAACATCATTGCTGAGATCTTACTCTCTCACTACAAAACAATTTAGCTCCCGTATTACAGTGCCTGACTGACTTTTCCATTTTAATGCTAAAAAAACGTGCGCGACGTCAAAGCAAAATGCACGGTCGACAAAACATGAAACGATATTCAGTACTAAGTATGCGTTTTAAAGAACATAAATTAGTGCACGTCTAGGTCGTCAGCATTATGAAACAATGTCTTCTTCTTCTGTTTCCTAGCGTGTTCTCTTCAATAGGGGTCTGCTGCTTGAGTAAACTCTCTCCATAATTTTGGTGTTTCGTTACGTCTTGGGTTATCCTTCGTTGTCTCGTATATTTCATTACAACACTGCACCCAGTTTCTTTGCTCTTCTCTTTCGTTTCTTCCTTGACATTATCAGTGCTTGAATCAAATTTCTAACACCTGATCTACTTTTCACACAGCCCAACCAACGGAGACTGCTTTCGATCAGCTTCTGTGAAATCGCTGATACACCTAAAGTGTCTCTTATGAAGGTATTCCAAATGTGGTCCTTATCGCTGACATCACATATCCATCTGAGACTTCGCATCTCATCATCATGGCAGCCAAACATTCAGTTCTGTACTCTTTTTCCTTTGGCTTGGTTGACATCTTCATACAGCACAATATACTGCTCACCTCTCCATGCTTTTTCCACTAATTTTTTAATTCATTGCCAATTTCAGCGTTGTCTTTAAGGATGAAACCAAGATCCTTGAATTTTTCGGTTCTAGGCGGTACACTCCCCCGCGATATTCACTGATTTGCTGGCTTTCTCTCAGT